TTTAAAATTAAGAAAGGTGTGCAACAAGATTGTATGCTTTCACCATAATTATTCAACCTGTATGCTGAAGAAATAATCTGAGAAGCTGGGTTATACAAAGAAAATTGTGGTATCAGGATTAGAGGAAGACTCATTAACCACCTGCGATATGCAGATAATACAACCTTGCTTGCTGAAAGTGAAGAGGGCTTAAAACATTTACTGATGAAGATCAAAGAGCACAGCCTTCGGTATGGATTGTATCTCAATATAAACAACAACAAAAAATCCTCACCACTGGATCAGTCAACAACATTCTTATCAATGGAGAAAAGATTGAAGTTGTCAAGGACTTCATTCTCCTTGGATCAACTATCATCACTCATGGAAGCAGCAGTCAAGAAATCAAACGACGCATCACAGTAGGCAAATTTGCTGCACAAGACCTTTTTAAAGTGTTGAAGAGCAAAGATGTCAGCTTGAGGACTAAGGTGCGCCTGACCCAAGCCATGGTATTTTCAATAACCTCATATGGATGCGAAAGCTGGACAGTGAATAAGGAAGATAGTAGAAGAATTGATGCTTTTGAGTTATGGTGTTGGAGGAGAATATTGAAAGTGCCAATAGATCCATTTTGGAAGAAGTGCAGCTAGAGAGCTCCTTGGAGGCCAAGATGGCCAAACTTCATCTCTCATACTTCAGACATATTGTCAGGAGGGAGCAGTCGCTGGAGAAGGATATCATGTTTGGTAAGGTGGAGGGTCAGAGAAAAAGAGGATGACCCCAACAAGATGGATTGGCCAAGTGGCAGCATCGGTGGACTCAAGCGTGGCAACAATAGTGAGGTTGACCCAAGATCGGGTGGTGTTTCGTACTGCTGTGCATAAGGTTACTATGGGTTGGTACTGACTTGATGTCATCTAACAACAAGAACAATAACAACATTCTACTTTGTCAGAAACTGACTCAACATCAGCCAATAGCAACAACAAATAATTAACACAAAACTTGCACAGTTGAATAATTTTAAAAATCCCAGATAATTTTTTTCCCTCTCTATTGCTAAATAACAGATTTCATATTCTTTGTGTTGTTGTTAAGTGCCCAGTCTATTGCCACCCATAGCGACCCTGTATAGGGTTTCCAAGAAGCAGCTGGTGAGCTTGAACCACAGACTTTGCATTTAAAATGACTTTGCAGTCTGATGTATTAGCCCACAGCTCTACACCAGGACTCCTTTAGCAGTTCCTAAAAGAGTCCTGGTAAGGTGTTGCAGAAAAAGCGCTGGGCTGTTAACTGATGGTTCAAACCCATCAGCCACTACTTGGAAATGAGCAGGAACCGAGTAATAGTACTTTTAACAACAGCAGCAGCACCAGCTGCTAGTTGTGCCCCACCCAGATTCTTTTTACCAAGCAGCTGCTCCCATTCCCTGGCTCTTGTTTTTTTAATTGCTCCTGGCTGCCTCCCTCTCTGAAGAATTGCCATTGGCTGAGTGAGAGCTGTCTCACCTCGAAGCTTCAGGACCCACTAACTCTGGTCACAAATGGCAGAATCCTTTTTTTTTTTTTTAAATATGGCATCAACTCTGGGGTGCAATTCATAGAAGTCAGACAGGTAATGAGTGAAATGGGTTATTTGGGGAGACAAGAGGGAGTATGCAGTCTGAGAAGAACTGGGCAGCATACATGAATTGTTACTAATTTGCTCCAGCCAATGAGGAAGAGTCCTAGTGTGGCACTGTGAGCTAATGAGTCAGACTGCAAAGTTGTTTGAATGGCAAGGTCGGTGGTTCAAGCTCACCAGATGCTCCTTGGAAACCCTACACAGGATCGCTATGGGTCAGAATCGACTCAACGACACTTGACAATAACAACAATGAGTGAGGAAACAAGTCTGGCCTAACGTTTTCCGATTTTCTAGTTTGTTATTTGAAAAATAAAAAGGGCAGAAAGTCATTCCAAGTGAAACGTTCTGAGTTTTAAAGCATAGTAGTTGATTTAAATCAAATAAAACAATTTGGTGTTCTGAAGGCTGAACAAAGCATCTATATGATGGAATTCATCTATGAGTTTATGGGTTTACAAACTCTGGTTCAGTAAGAATAGACATTAGGCAGCCTCTTGTAGCAAAGAGCACTGAAGGGACCATACCACCAACGTGATAGGAGTCCTGGGATGGACAGTGAATGCCCCATGCACTAGCAAACCTTGGGGCTTTGTTCCTTTGATATCCTGGGACACTGGTAATTCTCGAAATGTGGGAAAGCTTAGGAATCAGAGGAATTACATTTTCCCTACAAATTGGTAGAAAGGGGTATCAGAGTAACAACCAATGATTTGAAAGTGAAGTTTTACTTTGTTTTATTTTTCTTCAAAAATGGACTTTTATGTTCAGTTCCTCTAAAAAAGCAATGGCAAACACACCAGTAATGCCTAAGATTCATACCCACTCTAAGTACATCTAAAGAAAAATTAAAGCAGAAAAGAATTGATGTTTTTGAATTGTGGTTCTGGCAAAGAATATTGAATATACCTACCATGGACTGCCAAAAGAACGAATAAATCAATCTTGAAAGAAATACACCCAGTATGTCCCTTAAAAGTTAGGAAGGTGAAAATACTTCCCGAATACAATGATCATCAGAAAAGATCATTTGTAAAAAGGAGCATCATATTTGGGAAAGTAGAGGGCCAAATGAAAATGAGGGCAAACTTCAATATGACTGACTGGCACAATATCTACCAGGACAAATTCAAACATGCCAATTATCATGCATATGATTCAGGACCAGGAAGAATTTAGTCTGGTCATTATACATGAGGTCACCATG